GCCATGTCCCTGGGCAGGACAGGACTGCCCTCCGTCCTTTGCTCTCCCAATGCCCCTCCACTCTTCCCAAACTATTGATTTTTAGGGGAACCAAGGCCGTCGGAGGAGCCAGGACGTGCCGGGATGCCTCCTGCTTTCGGTTTGAGGCGGTTTGAGGCCAGGGCATGCTCCAAGGACGAAATGGCCCAGGGAGGGGTATCCCAAGCAAGGTGCGGTGGGGAGAACTCTTGTTAAGATCTCCGAAAATGGGCGGTCCAGACAATCCTATCAGCTGCGACCACACAGACCCCCTGCTGTGCCGCTGACGACCCACCAATAGTTTTTCGCGGGCTGGATATCACATGGGAAGAGATGGCTCCTCTTTCTCCCGCAGGGCCACTCACTGGAGGATTCGAACCGCTACCGAAACGTGGCCACCGCTCCTTAGGGCTCTGGGCTTCTAGAACCTTAGGAGCCTTGTAAGCCATTGCTCTTTATGGAAAGGTGAGAGGTTCAAGCCCACTGACCGATCCAAGAGAGAAGATGAGTCTGTCTGCTCCTGTGAAGATGAAAAGTCCACCACCAGAGAGTCAAGAAAACCCTGGCCTGGTGGGGGAGGAAATTGCATAACCCAAGGTAGGTGGTTCAAATCCACCGACTGCTCCTCAGGAGAAAGCTGGCCACTCTCCCCCCAGGCCCGTCACAGCCTCCAAAATCCCACTGGAGGGTCACCTCTGGGTCAGTTCGGCCCCAACTGCAACGAACCAGGTTTGGGTCGCCCTTGGGGTTCCCTTCTCCAGAGGCCCTGAGGGACACAGTGGACCTGCCCTGCAGAGTTCTCATCCTTCCCATGAGTGGCTGGTGGATTTGAACTGCTGACCTTTGCATTAGCAGTCAAGTGCTTCAGTCACTGCACCAGCAGGCTCCTTAAGGACAGCAGCCTCGGAAACCTTCCTCTAGCTCACAGGACGCTGGGTGGGAGCTGACCGATCGGCAGGTCCAGGGCAATTGCAGGGTGGATAAAAGCCTATTGGCCAAGGGGGCAGCACTGTTGGAGAGAAAGAAAGGCTGGAGCCTCGAGCCCACCCAGAGGCCTCTCTGAGGAAAGGCTTTTTGCCTCTGAAAAATCAATCATGAAAGACAGGAGCGGGAGGTCTCCGTGATCCTGGCCAACCCCACGAGAGCTAGGGTCGGGGCAATGGCCCTGTGGAGGCCATGGGACACCTCCTGACTGCTGGGTGCAGGGGCTCTGCCCCTTTGCACGTGTGTGCTGGGAGAGGAAGCCTTGGGATTGGGAGGCATCTCTTATGCAGTGGTCTTTTGAGGAATAGATTGCTAGGCCTTCCTTCCGAGTCGGCCCTCAGAAACTCTGCTAACACCTGCTCCGCCCTGCGTGACTCACAGGCCTCCACTGACAGGCGGCAGCAGGTGAGGGGCCCTGACCTAGACAAAGCCGGGTGTGTGCACACGGAGCAGGGACTCCACCTCTGATGAGGCCAGGCTGGCTGTGATGTCCTGTGGTGACACTCGGTCACTGATCAGTGTAGCCAGGAACCTGTGTCTCTCACACACAGGCCCGCGCTGCCAAGAAGGCCACACCTCTGCCTGGACAAGCTCCTGGCCCTGCAGCTTCCACTTCCTGTCCCAGAGCTCACATTTCAAGCTCATTCACTGAAGCCCAAATATGGAGAGGTCAGTAGTAGGTGTCCAGGCTGACAGCCAGAGGTCAAGGGCGTGAGAGGTCGGGAAGGAAGAGCAGGGAGATGAAATGAACCCACTTCACAGACAAGGACACTGAGGTTGGGAATGAGAGACCCAGCCTGGCCCAATCACCTTGTCAGAATCAAGGGCACATGGAGTCGACAAGAGGCAAAGCAGAGAGTTTCTGGTGGCCGTTAGAGATATTTGAATGGGTCCTGGCAGTACTTGTATGCTGGGTTGCAACCTAAAATATCAGGTTGGTAGTTCAAACCCACAGAGGAAGCTGAGGCAGTCGGCCCCCTTGAGAGCTACAGCCTGGAACCTGGTGAGGTCATTGAGTTAGGTGCCCATTTAGTGGGCAGGAAAATCAAGGCCTGGAATTTAGCGGCTGGAGGCTGAAGCCACGTGCAGAGGCCTGGCCATTTTGGCAGCTCAGGCTGCAGGTGGTGCTTCTGCCCAGCCAAGCCATGGGCCTTGGGAAGGGCCCAGCCCTGATCCCCTCCCAGCGCGGGCCTGGAGGGGAGGGTGATGGCCTTGGTGGCCACAGGCAAGGCCACGCTGATCGCTGATCGTGGGTGAGGGAGACAGTGCTCTGTGGGAGATCGGTGGCCTTGAGCACCTCCTCTGGGCATGGAGGACGTGGGCTCTGGGGACTCAGGGCTCACTGGGGTTCTGCAGAGCCTCAGGGAAGGCCAGGACTGAGGATGACACCCCTTTTGCTCACTCATGGGACTGATGCATATCTGGGTCTCAGCTCTGGGCCCTGGAGCCCACAGGTGGCCGCCCCGGTGGACCAGGCTGCCCACAGGCCTCTTGCCCCACATGTCACTTGGGGGAGCCTCAAGGACTCTCACAGTTGCCACCCTAGACTGGCAAAGATACACACCCTGGTTTACGGTCCCCTCCATCCAGTGTCTGCACGCTTTCTGGGAACCATGTTCCTAGTCACCCCAAGTCTGCATGTTCCCCCTCCCCCACCAGTGAGGGCCCAAAATTGGTTCCTCGGAGTCACTGACGCCCTTTGGCCTGTTTCCCCAGCAGCTTAATGGGGGAACAGGTACTGGGCACTTCCTCCCCTTGTCCCTCTGGAAGCCCCCTCCCTCAACCTCATCTGCCCCCTCCTCCTCTCCCTCCCCCCCAGGATCTACACACCCAGCATGTGGGGAACTGCACTGAGATGGCACCTGGGCATGTGTCCTTTGTGTGCTGGCTCTGTGTGCTGTCTGTGTATCTGTCTGTGGTGTGCGCGGGTGGCTGGCAGGCAGGTTCGAGTCAGTGACCCCTTGTGGTCACAGGGTCCAGTCATGAGGGCGGGACCCCAGGGAACTGTCCACAGGCAGAGCCGGGTGCGTGCTGCCACCTGGTGGGCGTGCAGGCCCCATGCAGGACACAGCTCAAAGCAGAGGGCAGTGACCAGAGGGTAACTAACACAAGACGTCCCTAGCAGGCATACAAGACACTCCGGATGACCCTCAGTACACTGGCATCCACGTCCCTCGGTGCCAACCTCCCAAGTGTTGGGGGTGGTGGTGTTGCTGTGTGCCCCAGGGAGACTGGAGAGAAGAGGCCGCGTGGCCACGTGTGGCTCAGTTCTGATTGGTAGAGACCCGGGCAGCAATGGACAGAGCCGGGGGGCCTGGACTGGGGTTTCAGGAGGGATCAGGAATTGGGCTTCCCATGAGGCCAGAAGCCCTGCAGGGAGAGGAGGGCCGTTCCAGCCGCCGGGACATGTGCAGCCCCCTGGGATGAGGGCTCAGCTCAGCCTCCAGAGAGCACTGTCCCTTCCCCCTCCCGGTGTCCGTCTGTCTGACTTCTGCCCTGTGGTGGGGCAGGGAGTCTTCAGTCTTTCTTCTGGCCCCTCCCATGGAGCTGGGTGGGGAGCCCCTCGACGGGCTGTGGGGTGAGCCTGCTGCCCTTTGAAGCCTTCACCCCAGGGGTGTTCTCTGAGGTCCCTGGCCGTGTCTTCTGGTGTGTGGACCTGCTCTGCAAGCACTCGAGGCCGATGCAGACAGCTGGTGGGTGGGGTTGGGGTGCAGGACAGACACACAGACCCAGGAGGTTTCTGTGAAAATAGGTGCATATATTTGAGAAGACGCGTTAGCTACGACTTGTACAGTACAGCCGCGGGTCCACACCGCTGTCCAGGTAAGCAACGGCCAAGGCCGCCTTCTGGAGGGGCGGCTCCTGCCAGATCGGGGCTTTCAAGGTATCACAACGAAAATGTTCTGACATACAGATTGCACCAAAGGTAAACCTCTCTAAAAAAGAGAACAGAGCCAGGGGTGGTTGGCGCGCCGGGGAGCAGAGCTGCTGTACCTGTGGATGTCCTGAGGGCGGTCAGTGCAGGAGCCCCACCACTGGCCACGACTCTGCTGCCCCGGGGCTCCCATGTGGCTGCTGCAGCAGCTCTTGCCATCTGGCCTGTTCCTGGGGCCTCATAACCCCTTTACCCCCAACCCCCCAGTTAAAAACCAGAAGAAGCATCGAGGAGGCCTGTATTCACATTACATGAAGGTAGCACCAGAAATAGAGGAGTTAGCCTGCTTACATGACGGGTGAGGGCCCAGGGTAGGGAGTCGGCTCCAAATAGGGCAAGTGGGGCTGAGGGTTCCGACTGAGGGGCTTCTGTGCTGGGCAAGTGGGGGCTGTGGGCTCCAACTGAGGAGGTCCTGAATCGGGCCAAACAAGAGCTGAGGGTTCTGGTGGAGGGGGCTCCAAGTGGAGGGCCCGGAACAGGGAAGGGAGCTGGTGGGCACTGGTGGATGGGCAGTGTCCCCTGTATCCCATGTGGGAACCTGACTCCTGGGAACAGTGGTCAGCACAGTGTGGTTGTGGGAGGCCTCTGTGTTGATGTCACTTGAGGGGGCTTTTCAAGACCCCCATTTGGTGTCTAGGGTCACTATGGCTTCCACCAGCAGTGACATGGCTGAAGGGAACTGTCCCTCTTCGTGCTTGAAGGCAGTTTTTTGGGGAACTGTGTGCCACACGCCTTCTGGGGGCTCACAGCACCTTCACCAGCCTGGGCGCCTCGCTCAGGGCCTCCATGTGGAGGATGGTGGATGTGGCCTGCAGGGGCTGCCGCCGACTGCCTCCGGTCCCCGCTGTCCAAGGCGCGGGGGGGCTCTGAGTCCCTCCCAGCAGGGCACTGTCCTGGTTCACGGCTCAGACCTATCCTGTGTGCACGCTGCTGGGGAGTGGTGTCTCATCCTGCCCTGTGTCCAGGCCCCCTTCCAGGCCATGTGCCTACCACCTGAGGGTCTCATATCCCACCCATCTGTGTACATGACCTGGGGCCCCCAGCACGCCTGAGGCTACACACATTACTCAGTGGGTTCCCTCTTAAGTGGGATCTTGAAGCCGGTCAGCCGCTGTCCAAAGAGCTGGCTGAGAACATGGCTCTGGGCCTCGGCGGTGTGAAGGGTGCGTGGGCAGACGGGGAGAGCTCGGCCTTTCCTGGCGGGCCCGTGTAGGGGCCTCTTTTCGGGGGCAGCCATGCCCATCCCCTCTCTCCTGCGCCGGACGCCCCCGAGGCTGTGGCTGGGAGGTCCCCTCCGGCCCTCTGCAGGCTGCAGCAGTGGGGGCTTGTCAGCCTGGCTGCTCAGTCGGGGCTTTATGGGGGGAACGCGACTAGGGGCCGCCTGCTTGCGAGGGTTACGGGGGGGCCTGACAGGCACCAAGGTGGTGCTCCCCAGGCTCCTTGTGCTATCACTCCTTGGAGGCCCTGGGGCTCGGCCCCTCCTCTTGCCCCCGCTGGCCCCCCGACTCTCTTGGGGACCCTGGCTGGGGCACTTGGCTGGGGCCTGGGGAGGGGGTTTGGCTGGTGGCAGACTCTGATCCAGGCAGGGGGACTTGGCAGGACTGGGGGCATTCTCACTGACCAGCTGGGGCTGGCTGCCACCCTCTTCTGTGACACTGTGTTGGGGACCCCCAGTGCCCTGGGAGCTGGGGTCTGGCATGGCTTTTGTGGTGGTGGACCCCGGCCTGTCCTCAGGGTCCTGGGCTGGCTCTGGAGGGTGCAGGTTCTGCACAGCTTTCCCCAGAGGCACCAGGACAGCAGGTACTTTGCTTGGGGTGCAGACTGCCGGTCTGCCCTCTGAGCGAGCCCGGGAACCCCCGGCCTTGGCAGTACCGCTTTTGTGGGAGGGCCGCTCCTTGGGCACCTTTTGGCTCCTGGGCACTTGCTTCTTCCTCTGAGCTGGGGGCCCCTTGCTGGGGACACTTGGGGTCCTGAGCTTCCCGGAGGACAGAAGAGGACCCATCTTTTCCTCTGTGTTTCCATTTCCGGCCCACTGGACAGTAAGAGGGCAGAGGGGTGAGGGACTGCCAGGGGGTACCTCATCCTCTAGCCTGCCTTCACCACCAGCCTGAGGGGCTGGGGAAGGAGACAGGGGTAGGGGCGGCAGTGCCCAGCAATCAGGTGGTGGGTCACCAGCTGTCCCTGGGTGGCCCTGTGTGTCCATGGGCCTCTCCTGGGGCTGTCCCTGGGCAGTGCTGGGAGCTGGCTCTGGGCAGGGGGCCAGCAGAGTTGCAGGGGACACGGTGCCTGGGGAAGGGCTGCTGCCCTGGCATTGGGGCTTGTCCACCCCAGGTCCTGGGCTGCTGCTGACCACCCTGGCCACCCGGAGCCGTTTGCTGGGCTGCATGTCCTCGAGGAGCGGGGCCTTGTGCCCCCGAGCCCCTGGCCGCCTGACTCTGCGGAAGGTGAAGGGCTGCTGTCCGGGCCGTCGGTGTTTGTCCATGTGACGGTCAAACTGCTCCTTCTTGGAGAAAGTGTAGTTGCAGGTGCTGCAGACAAAGGCCCGCTTGATGATGCGCATGACGGTGGCGCAGAGCGCGCAGGAGTAGAGCGGCGTGGCTGGCCGCTCCGGCTCCCCACTCGCCCCGTGCTCCTGGCGGCGGTGGGCCAGCAGCTGGCCGTGCTCGCTGTAGACCCCCGGACACTGGGGGCAGAGGAAGACGCGCTGAGGGCTGTGCACCACCAGATGGCGTTGCAGCTTGCAGGGCTTGGGGAACTGCTTGCCACAGTGGTGACAGTGGCGTGAGGAGTCCTTGCAGTCCATGTGCACGGGCGTGCCTCTGGGCAGCACCTCGCTCAGCGGCCAGGCGTTGGGGGACAGGCTGGGGGGCGCCCTGGTGGAATCACTGTCAGCAGGCAAGGTGCCCCCTTGGTTGGGGGGGTTGGTACTCGGGGCCTTTGATTCGGCTGTCGTCCCCCGTGGGGCATCTTTGGGGTCCCCGCTGGCTTCGGGGGTGACGCCGTGGTCTCTGTCGGGGCGGTCTCCCAGGGTGGTCAGGGCCTGGCCGCGGCGGGCGAAGCGCACGGCGTGCTCCCGCAAGTGCTCGTTGTACATCCAGACATCGGGCACCTGGCGCAGGCACATCCCGCAGGCCCACAGCCCCGCCGCGCCCTGTGCGTGCTTCTCCCGCAGGTGCTCGCGCAGCAGCTGACGGGAGCCGAACCTGCGCTCCACACACATGTAGCAGGTGGGCGGCGGCGCGGGGCTGTGGGCCAGCTTGTGCACGTCCAGCTCGCCCAGCCCCCCGAAGCGCCGGAAGCACACCCTGCATTTGTAGGTGCCCCGTTTGCCTCTGGCCGTGCGGTCTCTGCCGGGGCCCCCACCTGCGTCCTCTGGCCGAGGGCCAGGTGTCTCCTGCACATTCACCCCAGTGTGGACGTCCAGGAAGGTTGTGCGGGGGAGCCCCCCGGGGTCTTGGCAGGGCCCCAGGAGGCACAGGTCCTGCATTTCAAACCTGGCACTGAGCATGTCCAGGTTGAGGGTCGGGAGCTGGGTCAGGCCTGTGTTCCCAGAGGGTCCACTCACCAAGCCTTCTCGCTCCAGGCTGGGGGGTTCGGGGCTCATATCCCCCAAAGAGCAGGGGGTCTCCTCAGCGGCCTCTTGCAGACCTCTCCAGGAGGCTGGGACCCTGTGTAGCTCAGGGAGCCCCTCAGACAGCTCAACCACGTGGGGACTGGGGGGCATCTCTTCGGAGGGGTTGGGTCTCCTCTCAGGGTGCTCTGCGGCCCACAGACTGGGGCTGGGTGCCCAGGCCTTGGCCCCTGGCACGCTGCCACAGAGGAAGTTGCGGGTGAGGAAGTCCTCAGGCAGACCAGGGGCCCCATCCACCCAGGGTTCCTCAGGGGACAGGCGTAGGGAGCCGTGGTCTCTTGGCTCTGTGGGCGGGTAAACGGAGGAGGACAAGGTGGACCCGCCTGCCTGGCCAGGCAACTCTGGGGGCAATGGTGGCTCTGACTTCTTACCATGCTGCCCGTGGGCACGGCGGGCCCTCTTTTGTGACATGTGGTCACTCGGGGGAGAGAGCTGAATGATGCGAACCTCTCTATCTGACTGGGCACCACTCAGCCCAGGGCTCGTGGCACTGGGAATGCCCTGGAGGCACTGGGCCAGGCCCCCAGCCTCTGGGGGCTCTGAGAAGTCCTGGGGATCACAGTCAAGGGTCCTGGGAGCATCCAGGGACTCTAAGGAGGGCTCAGGGTTCCCCACCACGCCTCCCCCTGCCCTGCCTGTGTCCCATCGGCTGGCCTCTGCTTGTGACAGCTCTGTCTCAGTACCAACTATCTGCAGATCTCTTGGACCCCAGAACTCACTCGCTGCCTCCTTCCCTGCCTGGAGAGTGGCTGTCCCCTCTTCCAAGGACAGCACCCCGGCCTCCGCCGCGTCCCTTGGTGTGGCAATGAGTGGCTGCTCCCTGGGCAGCTCCTGCTCCTGCTCTGTGGAGAGGAGGTTCGGCCGGGCCGGGTAATTGGCAATCACATTTGATGGATTCGAGACGGTTCTATCTGGAATCACATCAGGAGGGTCCTCTGAGACGGAAGCCCCGCTCTTCTGGAATCTTCTTGTGCCTGCTCGCCTCCCTTTCCGATCTGACAGCGCCCCCGAGTCACTGAGGAGACACCCCGGCTCTCTGCCTTGTCTCTGGGCTCCCCTTGGCACCACGAGCTCTGTAGGCTTGTGAGACTTGCTGGATCTGGGGGTGCGTGGTGTCACGCGGCTGGGTGGTCGTGGGGCGAGTGGCTCAGAGTTTGCTGCTTGGAGACGGCGAGGCCCAGCTGCCTCTGCTTCCAGCCTGGCCCTTGCAGGGCCCTGGTCGCTGGCCTTCCTCCTGGCTTTTGGCTTCTCAGTTCCTGGTGCTGGGCAGCTCTTCTCCCTGCTGACTTGGGGTGTGCAAGCTGTGGGATTCGGGGCCCCACAGTTGTGCAGGCCAGTCTGGTGAGGCGGGGAGGCACCGCCACGGTGCTTCCTGGCCTTGTGCCGGCTCAGGCCGGGTCCAGAGCGGAAGGAGGCCCCACAGATATCACAGGTGACGTCTGGGCATGCCGCAGGACTGGGGCCCTTTAACCTCTGGCTGCGGCCTGAGAGCCTGGGCTTCTTTGGAAAGTCCGGAAGCGTCTGCTCAGCATCATGTGGACACACGGGGTCTCCCCTGGGTGCAGGGTGGGGTGTGTTGCTATCACTCTGGGGGGGACGGCGGGTATGCCAGTCACTCTGGGAGATGGAGTGTCCAACACCAGGTGACCCTGGGCCCTCCCAGTTCTGGCTGCTGGCCCCCAGCCCCAGGCAGGAGTGGGCATCTGGCCTTGTAGCTTGCGCTGGGCACGTGTCCATGGCTTTGGCTGTGACACGCTGATCTTCTCCAGGGCCTGGGTAGACAGTGCCCCTTGCGGGGCCTGACAAGGGCCAGCAGAGTCCTGATGATGACACTCTGGGGTCCGGGGTCCCTAGCTCTCCAGTCACCTCTGTGTCACTTGCAGCAGGAATGTGGGGATGTTCTGAAGCCTTGCCAGCCCCTCTGGGGGTGACGGGGCCCGCTGGGGGAGAAGGGTATACATTGGCAGGGTTACCCAAACCCCCCAGCGTCCTGGAAATGTTGCCATCAGAGCATGTGGAGGTGATATCTGGGTCAGTCTGGTCCCCTGTGAGTGTGTCTACCAGGGGACTGCTGTCCACCATGTCCAGCTGGAGGTTACAGAGGCTTGTCCTCCCTGGAGGAGGCGTGGCTGGGCACTGCTCAGCTCCGGCACTGATGGCGCTGGGACCACAGCTGGCCCTCTGAATGGAAGCCTGGGGCTGGGAAGGGGCTGGGTGCTGTGGGTTCGGAGGCTCCTCACAGGATGGTGATGTTGGGAGCTGTTCCCCCTGCTCGCCTTGGGCCCCTGGGGTCCCTGCAGGTACAGAGGGAGGGACTTCATTGGGCAGGTCCTTGGGGCTGCAGGACCGCAGGGAGGCTGCAGAAACAGAGCAGGGAGTATGGGGGACTGGGTCTGGGATGGGGCACCATGGACTGCCCTCAGCTGACAGCAGCTGCTTTCCGAGGCCTTGGCTGGCCACTTTCCCTGCAGGCTCGACATCATGTCCATTTGGAGCAGTAACCAGATCTACGGCTGAGGCCTCCCTGTGTATGCTAGTGGGATGTGAGGGGTCCCCTGCCTCACACTGAAGGCTCCAGGCTGTGTCACCTTTCTCAAGCTGCTCCTGGACCCTGTCCATCCCCTCAGGAGGCATGTCTGGTGCAGCTCCAGGCCCAGCCTCAACAGTGATGAGGTCACCCAGCTCCCCCAGGGCCTCCTGCTCCTCTGGCTGCAGATGGCTGACTTGACCTTGACCTCTGGTCTCTGGGGCCCAAGACTGGGCCTGGCCAAGAGAGCCTGGGTGTCCATCTGTGGGGCCAGCTGGTGCTTGCACATTTCCCTTGGAGCCCTGGGCTTGGCCACAGGCCACGGTCTTGCTGCCTGCGTTATCCCCTCCTTGGCCTGTGGGCTCACTGTGCTGAGGGTGCTGGGTCATGTCCTCATGCTTGACAGCTCTGGCCACAAGGAGCTGGAGCTGATAGAGGGGGCTCGGGCCTGGAGGCTGAGGGCTGGAGGTTTGAGGCTGGGGGCTGGAGGTTTGAGGCTGGGGGCTGGGGATTTGAGGCTGGGGGCTGGGGGCTGGAGGCTGAGGGCTGGGGGCTGGAGGCTGAGGGCTTTGCTCTGAACCGACCTTGAGTACACAGACAGGATGTGTCACGGCAATCGGCTGTGTGTCCATTGGCTTAGACCCTGAATTGCCCACTGAGTGCTCCTGGAGGGCACCAAGGTGAGGCCGGGTCCCCAGAAGTAGGCCACCGACAGCTTGACCAGCTACGCCAGGCTCTGGATGGGCAGTGGGGCTGCCACACTCCCCTGACTTGGGGAAACCCTGACTTGGCACTCCTGTCTTGAGGGGCTCTGGGGACAAGTTTTCTCTGCATTTATGGGGCTGCAGCAGCAGGGCCCCTCCACTTGACCATGTTCTGGTGGTCTCCTTCCATCTGGGAAACTGAGGTGCTGGGTCTGGGCTGCGCTCAGTGATACTGTCAGCATCCAGACGGAGCAGCTTGGTGGGACTGGGCACAGTGGCACCTGTTAGGACCCCGCCTTCCCTCTCTGTCTGGGCAGGTGCTGTCCTCTGGACCCCATCCATCTTGGGAGTCGGGTGAGTCCTGCCCCTGGTCCTGAGTGGACTGAAAGGAGCTGTGGGCCCCACATCTTCTTGGACCTCAGGTTGCAGGGCTAATGTCCAGACCCCGAGTGGGCTTTCCAAGGCCCCTTTGTGGGGAGCCACCACTCCCTCACTATCCTGCTGTGGACTGGACCTCTTCAGGTCCTCTTGCACAAGTGCATCCTCCTGGGGCATGGTGGCTGGGCTGGTGGGTGGCACAGGGGCCTGGTGTGTGTCCTTCTGTGGACATGAGGCTCCCGTGGGCCCTGTGTCCAGCGGCGTGGGGACCTCGTGTGTGTCCCTCTGTGGACATGTGGCTCCCGTGGGCCCTGTGTCCAGCGGCATGGGGACCTGGTGTGCGTCCTTCTGTGGGCATGTGGCTCCCGTGGGCCCTGTGTCCAGCGGGTCAGGAGCCGGGCGCCTCACCGGGCGCCTCGCCGTGCTCGTCCGCAGCTGACTCTTCAGCTCAGTCACCAGCCTTTGGATCTCCAGCTCCTCCTCTGTGCACCTGTGGCTGTTCCCTGGGGGTAGGGGTGGAGTGGGCACTGCCGGCTCCTTGCTGGGACACCGCTGGCCACATGGCTTTTCCTGAGGGAACCTGGAGAAATGAACCACATGGCTGGGCAGCCCAGCAGCCTCGTCCTCCAGCAGAGGCCAGTTCTCCAGCAGGGGCCTCGGTGGGGACGGGCCAGCACACGTGAGAGGCGTCTGGTCATCCCGGTGTTCCAGCAGGCTGTCGTAGACCGTAGGGTCGAACCTGTCCTCAGGCGGCCTGCCGAAGAGCAAGGTGGACTCCAAGGTCAGCAGGGGCTGTGGGCTGCTGAGTCCCCGCTCAGCAGGGCAGGGCACGTTTCTGTGAGGTTCTAGCCTCAGGCCCACGTGGCTGCCTGGCCCGTTCGGAGCTCGGGGCCTGGGGGCTGGGTCCTCACTGCCCAGCTCTTTGTGCCTGAGGAGTAAGCCAGTAGGGACACTTCTGCAAGGCTGGGGCCCTTTCTGGGAAGCGGGGACCCCCAGAAGGGCTCCATGACAATCAGGAGGTTCCAAGACAAGGCCAGGGTTCTCGAGGAGCAGGGCGGCTGGTGCGGGGTGCGTAGCATGCCCAGCAGTGGCACTGAGCACTGGTAGTTTTCCGGGCCGGGGCTTGGAGGGTGCTGCTTGGTCAGGAGCAAAGAGGGGCCTGTTATCTGTACCTGCCGATGGAGAGTCGGTAAGGCGTGGTTTGTGATGGGCTTGTGATGGTGGCTGTGATGGGCGGCAGTCTTCTAGGCCAGGCTGGGGCTGTTCTGCAGCTGAGGGGTCACCGAGGACTTCTTGGTGAGGTGTGGTGGGGGCAGGGGGCACCTCTGGAGTGCCAGCACCTAGCTTAGTTTCTGGAGAGCAGTGTGGCGGTGGCTGATCTTCCTCAGGGGCCTCTGTGCCTGCACCCCTGGAAAACCCCTCTGTCTCAGTCAAGGAGACCCCTTCCATTCCAGGGTCTTGCCTCACGAGCCTTTTGGGCATCTGCTGGCCTCGCTCCTCTCTGGGGCCTGGGGTCCCTCCAGCCACTTTCCTTTTCTGGCCCCGGCTGCTGAGGTGGGGCCGGCCTCTGGTGGCCTGCTGCCGGCGGCCAGGCGGGGCCACAGCGCCCTTGTCCTCTGCAGAGGCGGACCCGCAGCTGTCGGCCCGGGGACTGGGTGGGAGCCTTGCGGCCAGCAGGCAGCCTCGTGCCCCTCGTCCCCGGCTGGCCCTCTGGTGCTGGTCATTCTTCTGTTGCACAATCTTGTGGATGAGCTCCTTGCTCCAGCGGCCACCCCGTGCCCTCCTCCGGGCATGTCTGCTGCGGGATGGCCGCTGTGAGCTCCGGGTCTGCATAGGTGGGGGGCTCGTGATGGGGGCCTGTCCACCACTGTCTGCGTGGCCCCTCAGCTCTCTGACTTGGGGCAGGGGCTGTTCCACGTGGCTACCTTTCCTGCGAGGCCTTAGGCAAGCCGTTTTGGAGCTGGCCCTGGGGCCCTGGGCTGTGATCAGCCCTTCCTGGAACACCTGGAGCCTTTTGCCTCTCCTGGGCCGTCCAGTGGGGCCGCCACCCTCATCTGCCCGGGGGACCCCTGGACCTCGGGAGCAGGTGCCAGGTGTGCTGCATGGCGGGCAACCCTCGGCAGCTCCAGGGCTGGGGGCTCTAGGCTGTGGCGCGGGGTCCCGGTCTGGCAGCAGGGCCTGAACGCTGGGTTCTGGTGTCACCCGTGCCCGGGGTTTAGGGAGCGGTCCGGTTCCAGGGCCCCTGGGACCCAGGGGGTCTTCATCAGCAAAGACATCGATGAAGCTGCTGTCAATTTCGGGGGTGTCCGAGGGGTCCTGCAGGCCATTGAGTGCCTCAGTAATGAGGCTGTCCAGCTTGGCCACGTCCTCCAGGTCCAGGTCGGAGGCTGGGAGCGGCAAGGGGGCGGAGGCCAGGCTGTGGAGGACGTCTCCGTCCAGCAAGAAGCCAGCCAGCTTGGTGGGGCCCAGCGAGCTCGGGGGGTGTGCTTCAGCCGGCACCCTGGGGGTCGGAGGGCGCGGGAGGCCCTCAGGGGCCCGGGGTAGCAGGCTGCAGAACTGTCGGTGCTGGAGGAAGGAGGCCAGGCTGCTGTAGTTGCGGTCACACTGTCGGCAGGTCAGTAGCACATCCAGCTGGTCCAGGCTGGCGCTGCTCAGAGGGAAGTGGTGAGCCGAGTACGGAGGTGGCTCCTGGGGGAAGGTGCCCAGCGCCGGGCACTCGAAGGCCCCACTGGTCCCCAGTGTGTCCGCAGGGAACGAGAAGGCCTTGGGTGGCTCAGGTTGGTAGTGGACACGGATGGCCGGCGGAGGCTCGGCCGGTGGGAAAGCGCCGCTGGCCTCCTGGGGGCAGGAGGGCTGGAAGAAGGCTGCGGATCCCGGCAGCCCGGGCAGCTGTCCCTCCTCTGAACTAGGGTTGGCTGGGCTGCTGGACAGCGGAGACAAGGACGAGCAGGAGCCACTGCCGGCCGCAGTGGTGGCAGGCGAGGGGAGTGGGGACTCACTCGGGGAGACGCCGACCCCTCTGGATGGGGGCAGGCCGGGTGTCCCGAGGGGCGATGCCTGGTGGGGGGTCACTCCGAAAAACAGGGGCTGGGTACCAGCGTCCTGCAGGCCACCATATGGGAACAGTCCAGGGGGGCTGCTGGGTGTTCCCTGGCCATTCTGCGGCATGGTCAGCTTCTCCACTGGCCCTGGTGTGTGGCCACTGCCTGGCCACTCAGGGGAGCTGATGGGGTACGGCAGTCGGTTGAGCAGCTCCATGGGGGTGGGGCCAGGCCCAGTGGGTGCGGGCCTAGGGGGCCAGGGTAGTGTGGGGCTGTGTGGGAGACAGAGTCTCTGGCCTTCAAAGAAGGCCCCCCTGGCTACTGGGGGTGCTGGAGGTGCAGTGGGGTAGGCGCCCACGGTGGGATCCACCAGGGGCAGGGCCTCACTGGCCCCCTCCCACAGCTGGGGCTGAGGGCCAGGCGTGCAGCTCGGGGCGACCAGCTCCTTGTCCAGAGGCCCCGAGCTACTGCCCACGGCACTGTCCCCTGGGCTGTTGAGAAAGGCTTTGCTCAGAAAGTGCCTCATGGGCGGAGGGTTTGGGGGTCCTCTTGGGCTCCCTGCCCTCTCGTGTGCTGATGGAGGCCGTTCAGGCAGGGCCGGGCACAGGCTCTGGTGAAGGCTGGCTGGGAAGGGGCCAGGGGCCGGGTGAGTGGCACCAGGCGGGGAGAGTGACCCACCGAGGTTATGAGGCACCTTGAGGCTACCGGTTGGTCTCCTATAACAGGGCAGCAGTGGGGCTGGGGGCTGGGCGGACAGCGCGTAGGCTGAGCTGGTGCCTGCTGGCTGTTCTGGCCACATGTCTGCCGACAGGCGTAAAGCTAATGCCACGGCCTCATTGCTCGTGAACTCCCGCTGGGCTGTGTCCACAGGAAAGGGGTACTGAAAAGTGACTGCCCGTGAGCTGGGGCTGGGCCCATCGCCTTCAGGAAAGGACTCTGGCTCGGTGGGGGGAACCCTGAAATTAGCAGCTGGGAAGTTGTTGGTGTTGGGGGGCCAGGAGGCAGCCCTGCCTGCCGGGAATTCTATGTAGGAGGCGGGTCTGCTGGGGCTGGGTCCTTGGGTCTTGGGACGCTGCAGGGCCGGGGTCTGAGGGGTGGGACTGGGCGAGGTATAGTCAGTAGAGGTAAAGCGAGTGGGGGTCTCTGGGAAGCACCTTTGGAAGAGCTGGTCAGCCACAGGCTGGGCCTCGGGCCCCGGGAGGCTGGGCGTGAGGGAGGCTCCTGAGCCCTGGGGGGCCTTATCAGGGGCCCGCTTGTCCTTTGTGCTGGCAATGCTCAGTCTGTAGAGTTGCTGGACACTACCCTGTCCCCTGCCTGGTCTCCGAGCTCGTGCCTGCACGGGTCCCTTCCCAAGGGAGCCCCTGGGGGCCTTTCCAGAAGACCATGAATTGCTGAGGGCTCTGGGGCACACCTCACTAGCCTGTTCTGGTGGATCCTTCGGGGGCTCTGAGGCCCGGGCCCCACTGCCCACCTCCCTCGTGTCCTTGGTGGTCCTGCAGGCCCGAGTGCTGTCCTCGATGGGGGGCCGGGAGGGGCGCCCTGAGTCATGGGAGGCCAGGCGGATCTGCAGACATCCAGTTGTGGTGGGGACTGGCGCTCCGAGGGACTGCTCCCCAGGCATGGCTGCCTCCTCTGGATGCTAGGAAGATGCAGAGGGCCGTGGAGGGCCATAGGTGGTGCGGCAGGCAGGCTGCGGGGGCATCCTTGGTCCATACAAGGCCTTTGGGAAGCCTGCTTTCATGGTCCCACCAGTCTGGAAGAGGAGGACACTGTGAGTCAGGTGGACAGGGCTGGACAGTCCAGCAAGGAGCCCACGTGGACCTGGTAACTTCCAGGAGGCAGTGGAAACCGCAGTTGGGACAGAAACCCAAGATGAGGCAGGGGACTAGCTCAGGAAGTGCCTTTAGAGACAACAGGGAGGGGCTCCTGTCCAACTCAGCAAGAGATTCTGGGGAGGAAGGTGGGGAGAGAGATAGAGACACAGAGGCAGAGATTCCAGGGGTGGGGGTGTAGAGAGACCACAGAGTGTCAGAGAGGCCACAGGGGGACAGAGAGACCACAGAGGGACAGAGACCACGGAGGGACAGAGAGACCATGGAGGGACAGAGACAGGCAGAAGGAGGAAGAAATTCTGGGGGTAGGAGATCTAGAGAGACACACAGAGTCAGAGAGACAGAGACCGGGGGGTGTGGTGGGAGAGGAAGACACACACAGAGACAAGAATGGAGGCAGAAAATGACAGAGAATGACAACCTGGAAGACGAGAGACAAAGGTGGAATAAGGAAATGTGAGTGTGCCTGGGAGCACCACAGAGAGAAACCACCCTGGGTGGCAGCCACCTGGCCGCCAGGTAGGTCCACACATGCCTATTTGACCAGTCTACCCCTCCCTTGGTGAGCCCCCATCTCTGAATCCTGGAGTTCCTAGGAATGCCCACTCCCATCTCTGGGCCTCAGTCTTCTCTGTAAAATGGGCAAGCCTGGGGGGTTGGGACAGTTCTTTATTCACAGCCTACAACCTCAGGTTGCCCAAGACCCTGGGTGAGGGCAGGATGGGGCAGGGGTTGCCAAGGTGGCAGGCCAAGCAGCATCCCGGCTGCCTCTACCTGTAACCTGGGCAACACCAGCATCTAACTTCCATGAGAACAGGAACCCCTCCTTAAACAGCCCTTAGTGACAGGTTGGAAGGCATTGTTGCCTGGCCCTGCCAGGGCTGTCGTTCTTGGCTGCCCTTCATTGAGCCTTGTGTGCATCAGGGCCATGCTGGGCTGGGGCGTCAGTGGGCTTTTGGGAAGGAGATTGCCAGACTCTACTTCTGTGGCATCTCTGCATGGGCTTGAACCTTTGACAGCCAGCCCCCACCCGGACCCCACTCCAGGGCACAGGAGTGGCGAGAGCAAGCCCATCCCTAGCTTTGTGGGGTGGGGCTGGCATGAGGGCAGTGGCTATCGGAGAAGAGGAACAGGAGGTGCTGGGGAAGGCTGGGGACAGCTGCATCTAAGGGGCTGGAGGAGGAGGGCACGTTGCCTGGCACTGCTGTGGGGGCATCTGGTGGCACACCGCCTACCGCCCTCTGCCCTGGCAGCCAGGATCCGGGAGACGGTCCCTTGGGGAGGCAGCTGGCAGCCCCAATTACCATCCAGAGTGGAGAGTCGGAAGCCAAGGTGACGGCCAGGGGGGAAGCTTGGGGACAAGGCGTCTCCGGCGATGGACTGCCGGCTGGCCTCGGGCCAAGCAGCCTTCTCCACATACCTGGGCAGTCAGCCCTCAGCTGGGCGGCCTCACAGCTTCCTGAGGGACTGGAGCTTCTGGGCTGCAAGAGAAAGTAGGCGTGTCAGAGCTCCGGGGCCTGACACTGGGCACTGTCCAGGGTGAGAGTCCCAGGGGTGGGGGCAGAGGCTCCAGGCAGTAATGGGGGCCCCTTTGGGCACCCCTGGCAGGTACGGGGTCCATTGAGCATCCTCTGCAGTTTGCATCTCTTCCCGTTATTCATGAGCTCCAGAGCCGGTCCATTGATCACAGCGCATGGCGACCCTCTGAACAACAGACCTGCATTGTGCCTGTCTCGCTTGGTCCTCACCGTTTCTGATAGCTCGAGCCCCTGTCCCTGCACCAGTCCGTCTTCCTCTGGCCTGCCCCTTTCCCCAGCAGGATGGCTGTTTCCAGGGACTGGCCCTTCCTGACATCACGGCCAAGGACGTGGGACGGAGCTGTGCTGAGCGGCCGCCTGGGAAGCCCGGGCCCTCCACCCGCCCATCGACACTTGGAGGCCAGGTTCTCACGTTTCGTCTCCAGGTTCTCCACTTGCACAGTCACTGCGCACACACTGCCTCCTGGCCTGCGTGGAAGACACAGCCGCATCCTGCCGACGCCCCTTCCAGCCCCCAGCACGTCTTCAGTGGTCCCTGGACACACCTGTCTATGCGTCCACCACCCACACGTGGCTGCAGAGCAATCCGCCCAGTGGAGGGACAGCTGCACTGGACCCCGATCCCTGCCAGTGGACACTGGGGTCCTTCCGACCTCAGCCTCTGGAGCTGCATGCGGGGAGGGGGGACCCGAGGGGTTTACAGCCTCTGCAAGTCCACTGCAGGGTCAGCTGTGAGCCAATTTCAACCCGAAGGTGATGCGCTTTGGGAACCAAGCAGAATAAGGTGGACGTGAAGGCGTTTGACTTCTGAGACCCCTGCTGACATCCAACCGTATCCTGAGGAGGGGCCCTGCACCCACCCACCCAGCAGAGCCGCTCCTGAACCCCTGACCCTTGGGGCCTGGGGGAGCACAAGTGTGTGCTGTCTACTGTGGGGCAGCAGCTGGTGAACGCGCCCCACTTCTGAGCTGCACTGATTTGCAACCTCCCATCCACAAGGGGTGAATGAGTGCAGGTGTGGAGCAGGGACGTGCGTCACCCTGGGCTGGGCAGTCAGAGGCCACGTCGTCCTTCTCAGATGTCCACCCTGCCCTGTCCAGGTCACGCACGCAGAGCCTAGCTCAGCACTCAGGCCTGCCCAGAAGACACAACTGGAAGCTGACCCGTGACTTATGGCTGAGGCATCCTAGCGGTGTCCACGGCCACAGCAGACACCCGGCAAGGCGGGAGCTGACTGCGGCCCTCATCCGTATGTTTGTTTATTTATTTATTTATTTATTTTTATTTTTGTGTGAGCGTACTGTCAAATCAGATCTGACTGGTACAGGAGGAGATTGTTCCTCCTTTTCCCGGCAGAGCATCTGGTGGATTCGAACCGTGTGCCTCTGGGATTGTAGTTGCAGCTCCTTGCCACTAGGCCACCAGAGCTCCCCTACCCCTCATCCGTATGTGAGCTCTGACTTCCCAGTCTGCAGGCTGCACCCTCCTGGCGGCGGGAGAAACAGAACACCTTCCATGTGATTTATAGCCTCTGAAAACTCACTGGAGGGTCAGCTGTGACAGTTCCCCTCGATGGCCGTGAGCGAGCTGAGTGTCGCATGCAGCCTGGCCTGTGCTGCATGCAGGAAACTTGGGTCTCACCCCGGCTCCTCGGTCCATGTCCCTCCTCCCACCCGAGGGTGGCTGGGTGGTCCTGCCGGCCTTGCCTGCTCCACTGAGCCCCTGAGCCAGGGGGGCGCCCTGCTCCCCCCACACCTCACCGGGCCCTGGACAGTGGCTTTCACGTTCTGTCGCAGGCCAGCAGCAGGTCTCCCAGGAGCAGGCTTGGGTTTCAGCTCCTGCCCTGGTGCCTGGTGGTGTGGGTTTCAGCAGGCTGGAGGCCCCTTTGAAGTCGAGAGAGCCAATCCTGGGTCAGTCCCCCAGGCCCCGCCCTGAGCCCCAAGTTCCTCCAGAAGCAGTGGCTGCTGGGCCAGGCAGGTAACTTAAGCCCAGCAGGCTGGCTCCTGACCGGTGATCCCGACGGGCCTCGCTCACTTTCCCGTGCCCAGTGCTGCTGCCCCGTGTCCCCCCTCCACTAGTCTCATCCCTCCTAACTCAGCTTTCCCCTTTGCCCTCCATCCCAGCTACCAGTCCTGAGGGCTGTCCACCTACTTCCTCCGTCCACCTGCAGAGCCCACCTCTTGAGCCAGACTGCCGGTGGGGGTGCCCAGGCTGCACCTGGACCCCGGGGCCAGTCCTCCTGCTGCAGGTAGGTAAGTCCTCGTCTCAGGCAGAGGTGTACTGCCCAGAGTACCCGAGGCCATCACTTCACAGAAGCAGACTGACTAATCCCTCTCCTGGCCCCAGCTCATGGGTTTGAACCCCTGACCTTGGGTTAACAGCGCAGCGCTTAATCACTGCCTCACCACAGCTGCTTATTCCTATCCCCGGTGCTCACAGCGACCCCAACGGGCAGTGGAGTCTCCTCACGGGCTGCCCAGGTTGGGACTCTTCATGGAAGCAGCTCACCTCATTGTTCACCCAAGGAGTGGCAAGTGGGCTCGAACAGCCCACCTCTTGTTTAACAGTGCAACACTTAGCCCACTGTGCCACCAGGGAGCCTTCAGGTGGATTCTGACTCACAAGACGCTCGGCCAGGGTTCAGAGGCTCTAAACACATCCCAGAGGTTGTCACCTTTCTCCCTCAGAGCAGCTGGTAGATTCAAACTGTAGACCTTTTGGTTAGTAGCCTGGCAGAGCTCTTGCAAGAGGCAAGCCCTCTGGGCTACTGGGCAGAGCTAGATGGAGCACTGACTGTGACTGAGTCACAGACAGGCACGAGGGTCAAAGGCCCCTCTCTCCTGCACACTTCACCCCCCAGGAAGCTCACTTGGCCTCCTGTAAACCCCCACACTGGGCTTTGCCCTCTGTCCTGCAGCTAGCTGCCTGCCCTCTACCCTGGGCCACTGGCATCCTTGACCCTGAATGTGGGCCTGGCCCTCTGTGGCTTGCCAGGCCCCCGGCTGGCCAGCTGTCACTGTCCCCAACTGGTGTGGCGAGAGAGGCCAGATTCTGTCCAGGACCGCCCAGTGGGCAGGGCCTCCAGCTCTGACACCTGAGAGGCCGGAGCCTAGAGAGAGCCACAGCAGCCACACCCTCCGCCGGACTCCAGGCTCCCCCTCGGGCTCCGGGCTCCTCCTCGGGCTCCGGGCTCCTCCTCGGGCTCCGGGCTCCCCCTCGGGCTCCGGGCTCCCCCTCGGGCTCCGGGCTCC